ACTGGGTGAAGACGGCCATGCCGACAATGCCAGCCATGTTGAGATTGCCCGTCTGGGTCTGAAGGCCGATGGTGCAGTTGCGGCCACCGGCGTCGATGATGCCAAGGGCAAGAGCGGCGCCGAACTTGGTCATGGCGTCTTCATGGCGGTCGCCCACGACCTTCTTGAGCGTCTTGCGGATGGACGAGACCTTGGGGTTCATGACCTCGTTCTGCTGAACCATGATCATCGCCAACGAGATCAGAGCGCCTTGTCGAACAAAGTCGGTCGGGTCCTTCATCATGGGCTCGAGCAGATCAATAGCCTCGTCGAGACCGGTGCCGGCACACGATATACCGAGGGCCATGGCGGAACCATAGCGGACATGAGGGTTGTACGACTCGGAGAGCAGCTCAACCATGCGCGGCACGCTCCCAGGCTTGCGGAAGAGGATGAAGCCCAAGCTCATGACGGCGATGCGGCGGACATCGTCGTTGACGTCGCTGACGGCGGTGTGCAGGAGCTTGCGGATCGCCTTGTTGCTGCCAGTGCCGCAGTAGGCCAGAGCGACGGTCATGATACCGCCATAGCGTAGCGTCGGGTCGGGGTCATTCAGAAGGCCCTCGATGACAACATCGGCACCCTCCTGGCGGCCGTACATGATGAGCGCCATGCCCATGGCGACGCCACGCACAATCTTCTCGTGTGTCGTCTCATGCGCGTAGGTGATCATGTCTTCGAGCGCCTTGGCGTTGCCCGTGCCGAGCATGATGAGACCCATCGACAGACCGACAGCCTCGCCATTGAGCGCTGAATCCTGGAAAAGGATGTCCTTTAGCTTCTCGAAGATTTCGGTGTTGCCAGTCGCCATGCCGGCGATGCCCAAGCCAAGGGCGCCTCCATGCTGGACAACCTCTTCCTCAGCCTGGGTGAGCTGCATCTTGAGGTAGTCGAGGGCATCCGCGCCACGGTTGGCGTGGACGAGACCATAGGCGTACAAGGCGCCTCCCTGGCTGAATATGGAGCCGCCCAACCCGCCCGCTTTCGGCAGATACGGCTCAAGCAGCCTGCGCGCTTGAGAAATGTTGCCTCGGTGGACCACACCAAGAGCAGCGGTGGCAGTAAACTTGGACCAGTTGACGGCCTTGCCCAGCCAATCGAGGTTATCCCTAAAGAACTTGTCGTTGGCGGTGCCCTGGTTCATGAATGCATTGCAGAAGGTGACGGCGGTGTGGAAGATGGAGTTGCGGCCCTCGAGGCTGTCCCGGACCTTGTTGAGAATGCTCACGTCGGTGCGGTTGTTGCGGTAGAGGAACTCGCGGTTGAGGCGGATCGTCTTGGAGCCATCAAGGATGGAACGAATATTGCGATACACCTTGGCCACCTCCTCGGGCAGGGTCTCCTCGGGGGCATCTTGCTGGTTCTCCAACAAGGGTGCCTCCTCTGTAGTCTTGTTGGAATCTTCGGTGGCCCCTTCCTCTGGCGCCTTCTCAAGCTGCTTGCCAGACGGCAACGACTCTAGCACCTTGCCGAGGAACTCTTGGGTGCCGTTGTCGTACAGGTCGAAGGCAATCTGGTAGGCGTTGGCGATGGACGTGCGATCGCCATTCTCGACCAGGGTGCGCAGCATGCGCGACGCCTCGTCATCCGAGTTGAGGTAGACGACGCATCTGGCGATGGCAAAGTAGTCGGGGTTCGGAATATCGTTGAGCAGGTCGAGGATAAGGCGGAGAATTTCGGTACGGAAGCCACGCTCCTGCACAATGTCCATGCAAATTCCGAGCGAGTACTCCATCAACTCCTCTGCGGGGCCGGGGCCATCCTGCGTCTTGGTCGCCGAGCGCTTCTCGTCCTCGCTGGCCCGCTTAATGACCCGGCGGAGGATCTCGAGGTTCTTCGCCTCGACGGCGATGCCGACAACCTGCCTATAGCGGCCCGTCTTCAGACAACTGTCAAAGAGACGCTCAATGACGCGTTGTAGAGATGCCACCGTGGCCTGGTCAGGGAGCTCGGCGATGGAGGCCGAGCGACCCTGCTTGCTTAGGGGCTGAAGGGTAGCCTCGAAGATGGTGTTGTCGATGGAAGCGCGGGACAGCAGGGACTTTGGCGGGAGGGTCGTTTGCGAGAAAGGTGTCGTCGGGGACATGACGGCGCCGTCGGAGGTGTTGGAGAAGGTAGTGGTGAGCTCGGGCAGATCGGCGTTCTTGGAAGCCTGGGGCTTGGAGTGCTTGGCGGCGGTGACGGCGATGTACTGGTCGACGCACTTGGATATGATGGTCTCCTCGAACTCTCCCGGGGCATCGAGCTTGAAGAGGTCGCCGGCAGCGAGGGCGAAGACCATGCTGTCGTTGTAGGCCTGCAGGTGGTAGTAGACCTTGGCCAGGACGAGTGCAGCCAGCTGGCGCTCGGGGAACGTGTCGTCTTCATACAGAGCCTCACTGTTGAGAAAATGTTAGCTGCGCGTGTTCCTCAGACCCCCGTTCGGGCGGCCACGGGATGGCAAAGAGGCGTGGTGGGCGACACGTACATTTGGCTCAAGGCGCCGGCCACCTCGGTCCAGACGGTATCAATGTCATCGTTGAGGGTCTGCAGGGCAAAGACCTTGAGCTCGGGCTCTTCGTCGGCCAGAAAGGCCAGGACGCCCGTCGCGGAGACGAGGCCGGGCATGGCGATGGCGGCTCGAGGTAGTGCTGATGGCGACGGCGATGGTGGTGGAAGCTTGCGGAAAGCCGGGGCGGCGAGCAGCTGCAACGGCGGCGACGAAAGAGAAGGGCGAGCCCAACCGAGGCTGTGAGTATCGTGGCAACAGGCGGGCAAGACAGCGCCCAGGAGCCGAGAGTTGGAGAGATGGAGGGAGGTGTTGTTGTACACGATTGACGGGGGCGAGGGCAGGTTACAGATGATGTGGTGGTGTTTGGCGTGAGCAGGACCAGGCACGACGGCTTCCACGTCAGGCACAGCTCTGCCTGCTCCCTGCGCGCGGGCTAGCTGCGTGATTGGCCGGTCAAGGTGGAATTACATAAGCTCCGGCCAGCGCGATGCGGACCCACAATGAGTCTGGCTTCCTTGATGGAGACATTGCTGGACAGGTACAGGAGGCCCATCGAGCAGTGGCCTCAGGACGTGACGCGAATGATATATGCAAAGCTGGCTTTGCCTCGCAAAGGTGAAGTCCGATGAGCAATTACAAGGTCTACTTGAGGTTCGGGCGACGGGAGTTGCATTTCTAGTGGCGATGTCGCCAATCTGAGCAACATGCACTCACTCTGCGTTCAGCAGCCGGCCCGCGCTGCCGCTGCCCCGTGCCAGGAGCGAGGCTCATGCGTTGCTCCCAAGATGCCGCGGTTCCATTGCTGCCATGAGCTTCTGGCATATATAAATCAATGCAATTGCTGTTCCTGAGGTGCTGCTTTCTCTCTCTCTCCACAGTGGTGTTGGCCGCGCCGGCCATCCACACCAAGCATCATCAGATGTCAACTCACAACTCAGCAACCACTTCAAAGGCCGTGGCAAGACGCGGCAAAAAAAACAATGCCCTGTACCCCCAGGTGCAACTGCAGCACGCCCCCTTCATCGAAAAGAAAAAAAGGATCCCAGTTCCAAATCACTTTCGTTCATACCCGCGTTCAATCGCTCAGCAAGGCAAAAAGAAAATCACCTCCCCCGGAAAGGCTCGAACTTTCAACCTCCTGATTAACAGTCAGACGCGCTAGCCAATTGCGCCACGGAGGAATGGGCGAATTTGAGGAATGAGAGGACCTGATTCCTGATTCGTTGGAACCTCGGCTCTTTATTTTGTTATAACAAGGCATTTTCCTGGAGACACTAGCCGGGGTGTGGTGTGGTGGTGAACCCACTGCGCCAAAGCGACCTTGGCGACGTGGGGCCTGCGACAAAGAGGAGGACAGAATCCAGAATTGGATATCGTGAACGTTTTTGAGTACTCCGTATCGCGGAGTGAATCTGGGTGATGGTTGAGGCGTCTGGTTGCAAGAGTTACTGGCGCTTGCAGCTGGCGACTGCTGGTTTGTAGGTCCGAGCTCAACCTGCCGAGATTCGTGCAGATCTGCTTCAGTCGAGGAACAGGAGCCTACCCGACACCATATGGACTCGGAAAACATTTGCGCATGTTGGCTTCACCAACGCAAGCTCGTTCAAAAAGAAAGAAAAATACAGAATCCGTCCTGTTTCGAACATGGAGACTTTGTAGTCGAGCGCCCAGAATTGGCCCGACCGACGGTCGGCAAACATACCGCATGTGTGCTCAAGCATAACTAATTAACGACCTGCATGAAAATGTTGCAGGCACTCTCTTAGCAGTTCCTTGTCCAGCCCGAGGCCACATACAGTGCACGTCCCTGCGCCGCCAGCGTCGTATCTGTCCGAGGGTAAACATTGACACAATGAAACTCAGACGAGCACGAAAGGACCATTGCCCAGAGATTCGCAACTGCCTCTCGTGACAGCGGCCAGATGCTCATTGCGTCGCCACATAATCAGGCCGTAGACACTTCCGTAGCCCTCACGTTGCCAGACGCCCCAAGGTCCGCGGGGCCATGCCTTTTGCAACGTTATCAGACATTGGCCTGCTGCCGTTTCTGGACACCTTCTCGGTTGAACGGACGAAACAACACATTCGTCAAACCCATGGGCATAAGCAACAAGCTCTGCCACCTACCATCATCGTCCACACCATTCTCGAGCCTCGACGAGCGGACAGCACGACCCGACCCGCCAGGTAAACCGCCCCGCTGGAGCTCCAGTGGATATCCGAGCTCAAGTCTCCATCACAACCCCGATCCCAACCAACAACACCCTTCCACTCCGCCTCGACCGCCCACACAGAAAAAAAAAGTCCACCTAAGTCACAACCAATTCACAGAGCGGAGAGAGAGAGAGACAGCCCCAGCCAGCAGCAACCTTCCCACCCCGAGCCCCTGCCTTCAAGCGCATATAAAGCACTTCGGCACCATTCCTGGTCATCGCCTGATTGGCCGACTGAGGTCAACCACATCAGGCCGGGTCGTGTGGCCTAATGGCTAAGGCGCTAGATTTCGGTCCTCACTCGCACACCGAGCTCTCTAGAGATTCTAGGTTCGACTCCTAGCACGATCGAGGTAAAAAACGCGGTTTCCAAGCGTTTCCGTGCGTTGTGGCATGTTTTTTTGTTGTTGTCCCGGTTGGGTTGTCGTGTGGTGTGGTCCTGGGCTGTGGTGGCCGGCCGGGGCGGTGCGCTGGTGTAGTGATTTTTTTGTCCGCTTCCACGGAGCAATTGCGCGGCAGGTGAGACGCCGGTTTCGGTTGCTTGGCAACATCTGTCCGTACGTTACGTGAGAATGGCCGTAACCGTGTGTACACGTACATGCGCAGGCAGCCTCATGGTCAAGTCAAATACGAGAGGTGCCGTGGCCAGCGTGTCGTGACGCCACGTTGCGCTCTTAACAACTGCGAACCACAAACCACAACTACAGCAGGTACAATCACTGGCGGGGAACTATGCGAAGCTGGAGGGCCCTTTGCAAACCGCAAGCTGGTATTCCAGGCCCTCTGCAGAGGATCTGTCATCTCCATCTGCTTTCGTTATACGCGTCCCCAGGATACCCACAACCCACGACTTACACCCGCTCGCTCCTGTCCAGCGGCATCTCGGGTCGTCGGCGAACTGGGCGTCTGCATCGCAGGGCAGTCTTTGGCGTGCTGCGGACCTGTGAACAGTCTCTCTCGGCATTCGAGCGAGCAGGCAGAGCTGACACGGGGCCGTAAGAACCGGGGTGCATCTTATGTGAGATTCATGGGGGTCGCATGGTGCGCGCAATGAGGCGAGACGAGACGAGACGCCACGCCACGCCTGCATCCAGGCAAGCTGGGCGAGTCTGCTGGTGAGCGCCTGGTGCGCCGTTGCCCACGACGCCACAACGCATGAGCTGATCTGTCAGAACTTTGTGCCGGCGCGACGAACAAGGAACGGCCTCTTCGAGTCGAGAGGCGCCGCAACTCCAACGCGGAAGGTCGGCGCGGATTGCGTGCTGCGGACGGCCACCAGCGACGACCCGGGCGACAGCCAACCTCCTCCAGCTGGCCCTAGCGCGCATTCCCCCCATTCAGCGCCAAAGTCCCGCTCTCTGGCACACCCGCCCGCTTCCCCAATTGCGTCAGCCCGGCCCCGATGGCAGCATCCCAGAGCTCCGGCCAATGGCGCAGCTGCCACAGCACGCCATCGCCGGCATCTCTTGGACTACCACTCAGGGTCTCGGGGTGCCTCGAGGAAGGGACCGGACCGGATGACGGTTCGACACCCCATGTGCCTGGAGCGCGCCAACAATCATGGACGCATCGATGGACAGACGACTGACGCCGCTGGACGAAATACGCGGATCAGGCCGTCCTCGTCCTGTCTTTGGTGAATTGCCCTCGAGGGGCGTGCAGAGGCACGGCTCACGATGGCTCAGCTGCGACAGCCTCCAGCCCGTCACCGTTTCCGGCGCCTCAGCTCTCCCTCCAGCTGGTCGGCGACAGACAGCAAGCTCCCCGGACGGAGGGGCGGAGGGGCAACGCGGCGCGGGCTGGAGGGCTAATGGAGGGGTTGGCCGCATGGAATGGAGGGGCAAGTCGAGGCCAAGCTCCGTTTTGTGGACGCCGCGACGCCTCCCACAGGCTTAGAAATTGCGCCTTTGGCCTTTTGCCTGACGCCCCTGGGTCGATTACGACACCGAGTTGCAGGCGAGCTCGATGGATGCCTCCTCCTGCATGTCTCGAAGCCGCAGCCCACCGCCGACGAGGCATATAAAGTGATCCTGGCCTTCCCACCTCGGCCGGCCGCCCTCCCTTCTCGTAATCCTCGACCTCCCCGAACCTATCCCCGTTAGCAGCTTCAAAGTCAAACCCGCCCAAACCTTTGCCAACCATCACCATAGCAATGGCTGCCAAGGCTCCTCTCCGTCTCGGCTCTGACGCGCCCACCTTCGTCGCTGATTCCAGCAAGGGCAAGGTCGACTTCGCCGACTTCTCCAAGGATAGCTGGGTCGTCCTGTTCTCCCACCCTCAGGACTACACCCCCGTGTGCACCACCGAGCTTGGTGCCTTTGCCAAGCTCGAGCCCGAGTTCACCAAGCGCGGTGTCAAGCTGATCGGCCTGTCGGCCGACTCGACCGAGCGCCATGAGGGCTGGATCAAGGACATCGCCGAGGTCACGGGCGGGAACGTCAACTTCCCCATCATTGCCGACTACGACCGCAAGGTCGCCAACCTCTATGACATGTAAGGCTATGCCCGCTTAGTTCGCTTGACCTCGGATCTCGCTGTGGCTTCGTGTCAGGAGACCAAGTTCAAGTCGAACGATAAGTTGGGGGACACCGGGAAAGCTGACAAGACGGGACGCAGGATCGACTACCAGGACCCCACCAACATCGATCACAGCGCGCTGCCCCTTACCATCCGCTCCGTCTTCTTCATCGACCCCAAGGGCAAGATTCGCACCATTATCTCCTACCCTGCCTCTACTGGCCGAAATGCCTCTGAGGTACTTCGCGTAGTGGACTCGCTGCAGGCCAGCGACAAGTATAAGATCGCCACTCCCATCGACTGGGTCCCCGGCCAGGATGTTATTGTCGCCAACAGTGTCAAGGAGGCCGAGGCCAAGGAGCTGTTCCCCAACTTCCGCGCCGTCAAGCCTTACCTGCGCTACACTGCCCTCCCTCAGGTCTAAATGGCCGACAGAACGGGGTTGTTAAAGGGGGAGCTGAACGAAAGAGGAGGGAAAAGAGAGGCGAGCGGCAATACCACGGTGTGAAAGCACGAGGCCGGTCGAGGTCGACACGTACAGGCCTCGGTCGCAGTAATGAACAAAATACCAAATGAGCCACTAAAACGGATTGCTGTGGTGTCTCGAGATGTATGCCGGGACTGGATGTGTCTTTTATGGTGAGGTCTCTCCTCAGGGGATGAGCCTCAAAGTGCCAGGAGGTTGCGTTCGTACTCGTATGCCAGTGGTACCCCACGCTGCAACCACGCGAAGCCTTGCTCGCCCGAGGAGCTGCCGGTCCTGGTCAGGTAATGCTTCCGGTAATGCTTCCGGCGACCGTCATCTATCTCGAACACGCATGGACATGATGCGGTGCACAAGTGGGGGGGCTCATGTGGGCGGGTTCCGGAGAGCTGGGTTACTCCTAGTCCATGCAAGTCAGCTTCATGGGGGTTGCGAGCAAGTGGCAGAGCCAACGTCAGCCGCTTGTTTCGTTTCCATCGGTGCGAGTCCCTTCTGCTCGCTTGCAACTTGGCAGCGGCTGCGGCGCCTGAGTCATGGTGGCCACGTCGGGATCTGCAACGACGAGGCTGAAATTACGGGAGCGTGGAAAAGGGGCCCATGAGCGTTCTCGAAGTTGGAATGGAATACCCTCAAACGCGTCCTTGCTGTGTGACTTGGACCCTGGCTCAATCGTGACCCAATCAATTTACGCGCCAAACGCCAGCCCCTCAACCTGAAGTGAAAGCCAGAAACGCTGTCCGACGGTGCGGGCGACCGGCTGCAACGCACCACGCTGCAAAGCTCGCGAGGCGTTGTCGAGCGCTGGGTTGCATGCGGCGAACGGTACCCGTCTGGAGACGAATGATCGGAATTGGAAACGTGAATACGGGGCACGGCCCTGAGATCTGCAGCTGGCAGCCGTTCCGCAGCTCGAGACGGGATGGTGGTGTGGTGGTGGAGGGGACGAAGCCAGCCCACCACAGGCAGGGGCCGAGAGTGGTGAGGCTGGGGTTCCCACGTTTGGTGCCTGGCACACCATGGGACCAGACAAGGGGGGAGAAGACTGGTCAGCCTGCTGGGGGCACCTCAGAGCAGGTATCTAGGAGCAACCAGGGCCCTTCCTGAAAAGCAGGCGCTCCACGTCCTTGGTCCTTCCGAAAGCGTGCATCGGGCGCGTAGGTGGTTACATGGAAGGTACGAAGTACGCAGTACTGGCAATTGGTGAAGCAAGCGGGCGCATCCTGACCCATCCCTATGGACCTGCCTCACTGGCTCCAATACTTGGGCAAGGAAGGCACTCCTGTCCTGCTCGCCACGCTGTACGACGCAGGGACGGTGCCTCTTGCCCTGTGAGGGAGGAGGGACGTCGTCTCTTTTTCATCCATCTCCTCAACCTCCCAACAGCACCGAGCCTCGGTGACTTTATCTTGAACATACCTTGTATCGCCATCTGGTCTCCATCCATCCCCCGCTGTGTCGCGCGTCATCGTCGCCTGGTTCTCGACTCACTAGGCGTCTGTGCGTGCGCCGTGCGCCCAGCGCGGTCCCACTCAGCGTTAGTACCGCACCGCACCACACCGCACCGCACCACACGGCAAAGGCACCGCAAGGCACCGCAAGGCACCCCAGCACCCACGCGGGCCGGAACACGCTCCTCTTTCTCTCCTGACCACGGCTCTCCGAGTTCGACTTCCTCTCTCAGCCTCTCGCATCCACAGCTCCTGGAACGCTCGCCCACCGCGAGTGGCATCGCGACCCAACCGAGCCACCGTCCGAGCGACGCACCGGCTCCCAGTCGCGCACCCGGACGAGTACACACCTCCGAGTACGCGTAATTCCTACGCTCCGCCGGCGATCCTGCGCAGCGCCGTCACCGTTTTCTTACCCCCCCGCCGTTGCCTCTGTCGCCGCCCGCGACCCGCAATCCGCAGCTGCCCCCCGATTCGGACAATTTTGCCGTATCGTGGCATTGTGCCTCGACGAGCGCTGAGGCACCAAGGCCTACCGAGACGACGAAGCGTGCGACGCCGTTGCCGTACCGCGACTCGCCTGCCAGCCAAGCTCAGCACGGACGCCGGCGTGCCGCCGTCTCGATCCTATCGGCGCGCCAGAGCCCTCTCGCTCCGCACGCACCTCCGCCAGGCTCCTTGGCCTTCCGTGGACAGTCGCGCCCAGGCATCCTGAGAACGGCATATTCTGCGCAGCCCTTCTCCTGACATCTGCCTCCGTGTCTGCTTCGCTGCGGGAACGCCTGGCAATCCTGCTGCATGCGCACTAATCCGCGGTGAACGTGCGGGCTCCGTCAAACTATTGCCTCAGCGGACCGACATTAGGTATGTGCCCCGTACCCAGCCTTGCCTCCCCTCCCCTG